ACATAGCATTTTTATGCACAGATCTCAAAAAGATGGATTATTGTCCACATTTTTTACAAATAGTAAATTGTCACCCTCTGGGACCCTCCCCCACTTGTGGGGTCTTACAGCTTGGGCTTCAGCTCAAGCCGGAACATCTACACTTGCAATTTTATAGCCCCACAGCCCAAGCCAGGTGACCCGGGCCAGCTGCGGGTCTTTTATTGCAGTGTAGACATACTCATAGAGGCCTGATTTTCTGAACTTCAGAAACCCAAGGTCACACAAAGTTGCTTATGACCGGGCAAATGAGTATGTAGGTATAAAGACAGCCAGTTAAACTGGCCATTTGCATACAAACATATTTGCTTGTGTATTTGCCGCAAATGCACATACAAATTAGCCATGCAATTACATCCTTTTTTTTTTTTTTTTTTTTTTTGTGCAGACAGCCTTAGGCTTCTGAGGTTTTGAAAAATCAAGCCTTAAATGTTTTATAGTTTACTTTCAATGACTGGTAGCAGGAGTCCAGGTTTGTATACCTGTGTTAGGGTAAATAATAATCCGCAGAGACCTCTCCCTCCTTCCTTTGAAACTACTGCTTTCATTCACAGCATAGTCCACCAATTGTAACACATGCTCATTTGATGCAGGCAGGATTCAATGGACTTAATATACCGATTAAATCTAATGGAAAGGCTGAAAAAGGCTATTCAAAAAAATACGTTTATTTTTTATATGCATCCACTCAGGAAGCACTAGTCAGTTTCTGTATGTTTTATTTTGTATGGGTCCTCCAAGTCAAAACCCAACAAGGCAGCTGTCTGAGGTTATTTAAGTACCTTTGCTGGTACTGGAACATAGATTCTAAGGCCAAAAGGGACCATTATGATCATTTAGTCTGACCTCCTGTATAACACCTGCCATAGAACTTTCCCCAACTAATTGCTAGAGCATATTTTTAAAAAAAACCCAATCTTGATTTAAAAATTGTGAATGATGGAGAATCTACCATGACCCTTGGTAAATTGTTCCCCTGGTTAATTACTCTTGCTGCTAAAAATGTACGCCTTGTTTCCAGTTTGAATTTGTCTAGCTTCAACTTGCAACTGCTCAATGACGATTCCCCATTTACAGTTACATTTTGAGACCTATCAGTTAGCCATTTTTAATCCATTTAATGGGTGCATATTATTTTTATATCATTCTAGCTTTTAATCAAAATGTTTTTCAGATGCATCTATTTTGAATGTCCATTCAAACAAATAGGACATCAGGAATTGCTTGGAACAGTGGGCCAGATCCTCCGATGGTACAATTTGATGTAGCTCAGTTGACTTCAGTAGAGCTACACTGCTTCACAGTAAATCTACAAAGCTAGGCTCTAGCCCAGTATGTTCAGCCACTTCTAACAAGTGTATCAAATTTTACTGGATGTATCCAATACATCACTGAACACACTTAATAATGTTGGCATTTAAAGAGTAGCAATATATCATAATGATTAACAATAGCAACTTTGATCATTTATAAACATCTTTCTCCCAGAAGAATTCCAGATTGCTTTACAAACTACATGTCCTTTTATCCATCATTCTAAGAGTCTTAGAGCTATCCTGAATGAAATGAAAGAATTCCACCTTCTGAATCACCAGTAACATTTCTTCCAACTAATGGAGAATTTTGCAAAAATTTCCCATCATCACTAATATGGGTTCAGCTTCACTGGCATTAGCAATTTTAAATAATCCTAGTATAGAAAAGGCTCTAAAGGTCTCATCCAAGAACTGATCTCAGCTCCACTTAGTTTATAAGATCTGACAAAAACACAGAGCAAAGTGGTCTGATGTTTATAGGCTTTGTAGTTAACATCCTTTAAGATGAAAAGGAGGTGGCTCAGATGCTATACTAATGAAAGACATATAAAAAGCCACAGGCAGACAACCATTTAAACATGTAAAGCTATTCTTCACAACTAGAAGGACTTATGTTTTCTTTTTAAAATAAAAGCACAGGTAATAGCGAATATAGAAAAAATCATCAAAACATTCAAAGGGCCAAACTTTCAGCTAGATCACAACAGCTGTACAGTCAAAAAGGCACATGCACTCCTCGCACCTACAACAAAGAGCATCTGTCTGTGCAAACTGAAGAATTAACAATATGATTTTCCTCTTTTGTACTAGAGCTGGCCGAGTATTTTCAAAATGTAGACATTTCAATGAAATTTCAAAATTTAGAAAAAAATAAGGGAAGTGGGAAATTTTGAAACAAATATTTGTGATTCCCCCTCCCCCATTTTTTTTCACCAGATCTAATTTGTGCACTGTTACAGGCTAGGTGGCCCTTCAAATGCTAGCCATGCTCAGCCTTGCCTGGGACTTGTAGCTAGTGTGACACTGACAGACCCTAGTCATCTGCAGGCAGGATTGAACGGGGGACATCTGGAGCTTAGTGCATGAGCCTCTACTGCATGAGCTAAGAGCCAACTGGCTGTGAAGCTAAGGTTATAGAGCAGACTTATTTTATCTCTTTAAGTGGTCTTGGTGCCGCTAGATGGAACAGACCACCACACCCAGGAGGTGTGTGGGTTACACTAGCACCAGCTGATGGTGATATGGCAACTTAGTGATAATTACTGAATCCAGCTGTGAAAGGGTTAGGAAAAGACTATACACAGTGGAGAATGCAGTTAGGAAGGGATAGAAAGGCCACAGAGAAAGCAGGACTCTCCTGCAGGTTGGAGCAGGCTCTGACTCCAGCAGGTGATAGCCCTGAGACAGAGCTTAAATAGGTAGGAAGTCAGGTGGAAGGACTCATAGGGAGCAGCATAGGTTCCAGTGGAGGAAGCCCTGAGCTGGCGCCTGCAAAGGAGTAAGGAGATCCCTAATGGAAGCTGCCAGAGTCCCTAGGAAAGGGAGGCAGGGAAAGAAAGCCTGTTAAGACAAGGAGCAACAAAGGACGTACTCTGAAAGAAGAGGGGAGGCCCTGAGGGAGGACAAGTGAAAACACTTCAGTGGAGCCTGAGAGGAGCAGAAGGCTTATTAGTTTGGGGTAGAGAAGGGAGAAGCCAGAGGACTGCAAACCAAAGAGATACTGTGTTAAGCACAGGCTGTGGGGAAGCAGTATAAGTGGACTTAGAGGCAGGAAGCAGTTTTGGGAAACAGCAGCGTGTCTGAAGAAGCACATCTCACTGCTTAATACAGGGTCCCTGGGCTGGAACCCAGAGTAGAGGGTTCCAGCCCCTGAGGAAGGGGCATGCAAGCCCAACTACAGGAGCAAATTAGGCTTCTGTGAGGGAGGGCAGTAAGAACACTTCAATGGAGCTTGAGAGAGGTGGAAGAACTATTATCTGGACATTTATTTGGACTTTAGGTGACTTGGCCAGAGGGCTGAGCCTAGGGTGACCATATAGAAGTGTGAAAAATCAGGACGGGGGCGAGGGGTAATAGGAGCCTATATAAAAAAAGACCCAAAATCAGGACTGTCCCTATAAAGTCGGGACATCTGGTCACCCTAGCTGAGCCATGGAAGACCTGGTGAGAGGCAAATGGCCCGTAGGAGGCACTAGAGACACAGGCTTCCTTTCAGCATCATAGCCTGAGATAAGCGGGTGCAGAGTACGGTACCTTACATGCACATAATTGTGGCGTTCCACCATAGCTTTTATCTCCCCTTTATTGTGGTGAAGGAGGTACTTTGTGCCTGACATGACTATCATGGCATGTTTTACGGGGAAAACCTGGGAGAAAGTATCTTCCAACTAAGATTGCATCATGTTTTCGGTATTAGGCAGTGATATAGTGTGTCCTACCATAGTTCCAGAGGGTCAAATAAATAGTTCTTTATTATCATCATTTATTCCTCACTGAACCAACAACATTCCCAGTGCTATACAAACATTTAAAAAGACACTACTCCTACCCAACAAGCTTACAATCTAGTAAAAGCAAAACAGTTCACACACACATTACAGTACATCACAGTCCTGGAGAAAGGTGGTATAGGAATCTTGTAGAGATCATTGTTGAAAGGTGATAAAGTAGCAGAATGTCTTGAGGAGGGATTTAAAGGTGGTGAGGCAGACCACTTAGTGAATAAAGGAGGGAGATTGTTCCAAGTGTAAAGGGAAGTATCAAAAAATCATGAAGAGGAAAGTAGAACGATACAACATTGGAGAGAGTCTTGGGAGAAAGAAGGGGAGCAGGAAGAAATGATAGCAGAAAACCAGGAGCATATTTATCAAGGGTGCTGAAGCACCTCTAAATGCTTTGACTTTACGGTAATGATTTGTCCTTTCCATTTTAACTAGTGTGACAAAGTTCCTCCTCTATCTTGGTGGGTCCTGTGCTTATTGGCAGATTTTCTTGCCTCAGAGATTCACCATGTGGGTTGGGGAACAGCCCAGAGACCTTCCCCTCTGGAAGAACCCACAGTCCAGGTCAATTGGGAGGTTTGGGGGGAACCCGGGCCCGCCCTCTACTCCGGGTTCCAGCCCAGGGCCCTGTGGACTGCAGCTGTCTATAGTACCTCCTGTAACAGCTGCATGACAGCTACAACTCCCTGGGCTACTTCCCCATGGCCTCCTCCAAACACCTTCCTTATTCTCACCACAGGACCCTCCTCCTGGTGTCTGATAACGCTTGTGCTCCTCAGTCCTCCAGCAGCACACCTTCTCACTCTCAGCCTCTTGCTCCCAGCTCCTCACACTCACACCACAAACTGAAGTGAGCTCCTTTTAAAACCTAGATGCCCTGATTAGCCTGCCTTAATTGATTCTAGCAGCTTCTTCTTAATTGGCTCCAGGTGTCCTAATTAGCCTGCCTGCCTTAACTGGTTCTGGCAGGTTCCTGATTACTCTAGTGCAGCCCCTGCTCTGGTCACTCAGGGAACAGAAAACTACTCATCCAGTGACCAGTATATTTGCCCTCTACCAGACTCCTGTACCCCACTGGTCTCGGTCTGTCACACTAGATATATGGGATCATTACTATCTACAAATGTATTAAATGAATCCTTACCATCAACAGCCAATGAGATGACATCTTGGGTGTCTTCAATTCCATACATGACATCACAGCGGTACACACCCGCATCGCTTGCACGTAGTTTAACCATAGTCAGCGAAGCATCTCCAATATCCTCCGGGTGGGTTGGAACAGACACTCTGCCTTTGTAGCCTTGCCCTATTTTGATGTTCCCATTTTGGGCCACCAGAACAGTGGTTTCTTTCACATCTTTTCCGGTTTTATCCTGTTCAACCTTTGACCATTTGATTCGAAGAAATTCACTTGTATTGTTGTAGCTGGGGGGTAAAGTAGGCAAGGTTGAAAAGAAGCAAGGTAGGGTTGCTCTTCCAGAAAGGGAACCCTTTACAGGGGGGCTTTTTTCCACTTTAACTAAAAGAAGAAGGGAAAAAATCACATTAGTGGGCCAACAAAATAAGAACCAGATCAATTCCATTGCAATTTAAGGATTAAAGCTCACATGGGGGCTGATTCTCATGTCCTTTATGTTGGTGTAAATCAGGACTACCTTCACTGGAGTCACTGGAAGAAACTCAGAGGCAGTGTGGTCCACTAGACTAGGATTTGGGAGAGTTCTATTCTTGCCTCTACCTCAGCGTACTTGGGTAACCTTGGGCAAATCACTTTACCTCTCTGAGTCACAGTTTCCTCCTATATAAAATGGGATTAACATTACTGCCCCCCTTTGTAAAGTGCTTTGAGATCAACAGATGGAAAAGGTAGGTATGGTTGTTATGCAGAAGTAAAACCAGTATGAAAGGAGAATATGACCTATGGCCTTAAGCGCATTACAACTCTCAGAACCCACCCATCATTCTATCAAAGGTTAACTCATTTTGATCTGTTAAACAACAGTCTTTCCAGTGAGATTCTCCCAACTATTAGTTCTTTTTTAATTGTTTGCCTCTTTTCCAATCGCAGGCCTTAACGTGTTGCTGAAACCAAATATTGTAGGATGTTCAAGTAAAGGAGGAAATGAAGCACATGGAGGTCCCTTCTTGGCTCAAACTTGTGATTATAGGACTTTTATCATAGTTTTATGACATCTCCAGCTGCAAATACTTTACAGGGAAATGCTTCTACCAGACAATATCCTTAGGGGAAAGTTGGCTACTGTTCACCCAGCTTGCCTACAGCATGTGTCTGGAGAATGGATTTCTGTTTGCTACCATTACACACCAGCTCTTAATCCTCATTAAGTTATTAGGTATGGTTCAATAACATCATATATGTATATTTTATCTCTTTCCTTTTCCACTGGCCTGCTCTATAACTCTTTCTCTGAAAGGCTGAAGATAATGGTAATTCATTTTAAATGAACTAGGGTTCATAGTTTAGAAAGATAATATCTGCAAACTAATACTGACCACCAAGAGTGTGAGGGAAGAAACAAGTGCTCCCAACACATGGAAACTATCTAGCTGTTCGTTATTAGTTGTCAAAAATGACTTCTATGCTTATACGGTAGAAGATTCTAAAGAAAGAAAGATAACACCTGGCTATTTCAAAAACTGCTATGTTGTAAAGCATTTGAATGTTGGTTAAATTATTTTTTTCAAAGAGGCATAGATAGCTCTATACAGCATATACTTTAAATGGTCAAATCTCTCTTTATTAGGTGTTGATATTATGCTCATCACCTTGGTATCTCAGTGTCTCAATATTACAGAAAGGTACTGAGATTTAAACAAGTCACAAACTACAATTAAGGTCTAGAGACCATAGTTCTAACAAGAGTTTATTTGTAAAAACAGGGAAAGACCAAGACAATTCAGATACAATAGCCAAAAGAGTGAGGAATTGTTAGGATTATAGGTTGTTGGGTAAAAATCACCAAGGTCCAGGTTCAAACACTCTTACTCATGTTGAGTATTGCCTTATTGCACAAATATTCCCACTGAAATCAATAGAGTTACCTGAGGAGTCAGGGGCTACTAAACCTGAGCAAGGGTGTCAGAATCTGGCCCATCATGGCATCAATGGATAATAAAGTAAGAGGGCATTATTCTAATCTGAAGTTTTACATTAGGATAAATGCCCTTGGATCTGATTCTCCACTCCATTACACCAGCTTTGTGCTAACATAACTGCAATGAATTACATGGCAGTAAAATTGGTGTGAGAGACTGCAAAATCAGGACTCTCGATTTCAATGGAGTTACCACCAGTTTATACAGGTGTGAGATCAAAATCACTCTCGAAATATTTCATATTTCTTATGATATCTAGTTGCTTTTTAAAAAATATTTATCTTCATTAAAGAGAATATTTAAAAGAATAAATATCTAGTTCTATTTATCCTGCCTGTCAAAATTTTAATAATCTTCAGAGACAGTTGGTGGTGGCTGCAGTGATCTGCAATATCCGCACTGATCCCCGAGGAAATTTTCTCCTTAAAATTGATATTTACATGTTGAGTTGACTGAAAGCTCTTGGCAGCAACCATATCATTATGATATACAGTTTATATCTGTTCTAATCTAGGGCAACATTTTGGAAAGAAAGGAGACCATGTGGCCACAAATACATCCATCTACTTTACAAAGTAAGTATCCCAGAGCACTTTTATAATAAGAGTACTCTCTGTTCTGACTTGCAGGCTAATCAGCCTAAGTCTGTTATTAGATAAAATAGGATTTTTTTAAAAAAAGTTACTTTCCCCATTTGGGAAAAAAATGTTTGGCAATTAAACGTGGGTAAGTGATGCTCCTGCACTGTTCCAAAAACTTTATTTCCTGTGGCAGCCCATGCTAGCTATTCAAGCATGATTTATTGTCCGCTGCTGAAGGCAGCCTTTTCTTCTTTTCTTAACCCTTACGCCCCTTCTGCTGCTTCAGCATTTTCCCTCTGACTGAAAGCACAGAATGCTATCTCTTCCCCAGATACTCGGAATGCCACTTTGCAGACCATTCCTTAATAAGTACAGGGCCAGCAAAACAAATGGTCACCAAGGACAGCAAAGAACAGGAAGAGGTTGAGTAACTGCCTGTGTGTTTGTCGGAAGCTGAGAGGGGCAGATATTTGCAGGTTTTCCTAGGTCAACAGCTCTCCTAGAGCTAACAATAGAAAGTGCTATGAAACCTGGACACCCATTTTTCCAGCCCCTTTACCCATCTCCACAGCCCCGTGAGACCTAAAAGCACTAATGTCCTCTTGTATGTATTAAAAAGAAACATGGTTTTGAAATCACCAGCCAGGATGGTGATTAATACAAGCATTTTTCTATTGATAAATGGTATATAAAAAACTTTTCAATACAACTGGTTAATAGAGGACACACATGCACACACAGAGAGACTTAAGTCCAAATCACCACAAAGAGCCATACCTTGGAGTCCTTGCTCAAGCAAAATTCCCAGTTAAGTCAATAGGAACTTTATCTGAGTCAGGACGGTGGGATCAAGCCCAAAGAATCACAGTGTAGTCAAGTTATGGGGGCCTCACTAAGTAATCGGTCATAACTGTCAGAGTACTTTCCTTCTTATCTAAATGTAAATTTTAATGACCAGCTTATCACTAGTTCTAGAATGGGTGAATGGGGAAGGAAGGCATAAGAAATCTTTCCATGCATTGTGGCCCCCTGCAAAGAAATGTCAATCACAGTCCCCCAGTATTTTGAAGACTTCAGACACTGCTCCTTCCTACTTCCCTAAGGGTGCAAATCATTTCAAAGAGAGCTGGAAAGAGGCTGAGCAATGGTTCCATCCCTTCCACATGGAGCTGATCAACTGCTCAGGGGGGAGCAGGTGCACAGTCCAAAGGGATGGAGCATTTATCAGGAAGCTGGGGAAAGTATCATGTTTTAAGATTATACCAGATTGCTCCCCTGCCGTAGTGCCCAGTGTGAGCCAGTGTCTTACAGTGCAACGTGGCCTCATGTTGCAGCCAATCCTGATACTAATAAATGACAAATGAAGGTCTGTTTATTTTTCCTCATGCAAATTATCTGGGGGCGGGGGGGGCGTTCTTCCTTCATTTATTTATCCACACTGATGTACAGGATCATGTTAAGGGCCAAGCCTTGTGGATTTAACTGTGAGTTTCCCTACATTCTGGTGGGTTTCTTGGAGCCCTCTCATTACATAAACATGGGGGTTTTGGTGTGAGTATTTAAAAGTTGTAGAACAGTTTCATCTCGAACCTGCTGTAATGTTCTACCAGTCAGAGTTAGTGTACCCTGCTGCCAGCCAGTTATAAGGATTGTGGGGCTGCATAATTAATTATAGGGAGGTAGTTAAAAATAGGGAGCTCAGTGAGGCTATAAATTCCATACCGCTGCCTCCTGGAGCTCCCTGATAGAATTTCCCCTTTGTGAGCTTCTACCTTGAATAAAGCTGTTTTCCTTTTGACTTTAACCAGAATTCCAGCTATCTGTTGTTTTGGACCTTGCCTCAGGTCCTCCCAGTTCACAGTTTGGGTTGTAAAAGTCAGCTCATCTTATCTATGAAGTAGGGCTTGCTCTCTTTCTTTTGAAGTTGGACACAAAATAAAACATTTGCTCCTCGCCTGAGACAAAGACTCCTTCCCCAGAATGTCTTGTACAATCCTTACTTTTGCAAAAGTTGCAAATCCCTGAAAAGTGAAGTAAGCAGAGAAAGGGCTATTTTAAGGTAAAAATAATAGCAACACCCATTGGTCTGTATGGGGCAAAGAGGTCTGGATCCAATTGGAAGGAATGTCCTCCAGGAGGAGAAGCTGCTTAGAAGAATGGTCTTGCTCTGTAATTAAGTTTAAGAGGACAGAAACTCTGACAGTGAGTAATCAGACAAAAATGTATTCTCATGGAATCAAAGATCCTATTTATGTTAAGCCAAGTTTACAGGGGAAGAACAATTAAAAACCTTTGTTGAGAGTTCATCAATAGTCTGACTACACATACTCTCTATAGTCCAGTCTAGTAGCAGCCATAACAAATACCTATGATCTCATGTGCTCTATTAAATCTGATTTCTTTATATACTGAGCCTAAGCAAACTCTGTTCATTAACTCTAAATCTTTTAAGAAGGAAATTCAATACTTAAGAATATAACAGTGTTAGATTGTTAAATTAAATTTAAAAAAAAATAATCAGGACTACCTGCAAGAACATGTATAGAGCTTTGAGAATGGAGGTAATAAATTGAATCCCAACAAAAACTTCACTGTGTTCCTACCAGATGGTTTGTGGTCTGAGTTACTACAGTAAAGAGAGGGAGGATGTAAACCAGGCATAGAGTACTGAAGGATCAATTACGTCTCATACTCTGTCAGTAAATCATAGAAAACCAGGCAAATGTATATTCCATCTGCAGTCCTGAATATTATAGCACACCCACATGTACATATTTGTAATATACAGGCACAAATAGATGTTTATTATGTATTAGTCACAGACTCAAGTGTCAGACTGCTACTGAGGGGATTTTCTACTCTTTTCAGGTTTATAGGGTCTTCTTGAAATCACACTCATTCGTGACATGACAAATGAATGTTTAAATCGAGTAGGTAAATTCCCACATTTATCACAGTCACTAGTCCAGTTTGTAACTAAACATACTAGACCATCAGCTAGTTCAAAAGTGAGTGAATGTCATGCTAGCAACCAATGTAAACTTTGTCCATTAACTTCTGTCATTAATCCTTTATGTGCACTAGAGCAAACAGCACAGGTCCTGTGATGGGGCACTCCTTTGACCTCACAGGCTTATGTAGTACTTCCTGCTGTTCCGCTCCCAAAAATATCTTATGGGAATTTAAAGGACCTTAAAGAAACCACACAAGAGCCTCTATGTTTACTTTTAAAACAAAAAAATGCTTTTGTTTCTACATAAAAATTATGTGCTTACCTTGCATATGTGCTAGGTATATATGGATAGGGCCAAGTACAAGGATGAGAGAGATGATAAAATGAAAGAAAGACTAGAACAATAATTAATGGTGAATATATAAAATATTGCATATCTGTAATCTGCTGTGTTACAAATAAAGTTGGAGTTTTGTTGTGTCTATCATGGGAATCTTGGATTTCAGGACTGATACGTTAAAAAAAATCCTTAGAAATATCCAAACCAAGCCCTTTGGAGACTTTGGCATGGCAGGGGGGCTGGTTATGGGGAAGATGTGATAGCAAGCAGTTGACTAAACCACACAGAACCTAGACTGCTGCAAACGTTTAACCTTGAGCTGAGTGACAGATTATTAGAGAACAAAAGCAATGCAGTGACACCCAGGACCACACCAGTGGATGATCAGTGATAGTTTTTACTCCAAGAGAGATAATGGTTTTTCCCCAGGTATACAGAGAGAATTAAATAGTGAAGAGACCAGATTGGGTCTGCAAAGTTTGGGTCCAGTGAAGTAACTCCTGCCCTCTAAAATGGCATTACACACATGAGCTCTATTCCTGACATTTGTTCTAGAATGGAAAATAATGGCTACTCGAGATAGAAACCAATCTGTTGACATTTAGATCTTTTGGAAAGTATTTTTCCCATTTCTTTTGCCCTCTTCGCAATGGCCATTCTGTGAGGTTTTCTTCTAATTGCTATGATAAAACTAGAGCTCTAAATGAATGAGACACAGCATTCATACTACCTTTCTAGGGGTGGGAGACTTTCCATCTGCTCCCACCAAGCCACACGCAGATGATCACCAGCCAGAATCTGGCCCAATATTATTGTTATCTGCTTAACTGGATGCTTAGCAGTGGGTTGCTCATGTACTGTAAATCCCATACTGGAGAAACTCTGAGCCAAATTAAGAAGTGTTAATAGGTGGTGTAAATTATACATCAGTAACTTGGTGTGTATGTGAGTGTGAGTAGAATTACACAATATGGGGCAGGAGGGCACAAAGGTATCAGGAACAGAAACTAATAGGAATGTATAATGAGGCTCAAAGCTGCTTCGTCTTGTACATTCTTCCTCCTGCTAGTTGCTTTTCCTGCTAAAACTCACCCTTTTGCCTCTCATCATGTGAATTACACCCCTTTACAGAACATAAATTACCCCCATTTGTGTCACTTTTGAAGTTAGCTTGTTATGCTTAATAGCTCTTAGTTTCACTATAATTTATGCTAGATATTTCTATCTTAATGGAACAATACAACTCACTGGATAAGGACTTCTAAATTCACCACTGGATTCTTTAGCATGTAAACTCACTTTGCAAATCTAAAAACCCCTTCCCATAATGATGTCCCTTGCCTAGCAGCCCTCATATAAACAGTACATTAAATACAACAAGACCCATATCTCTCTCTGGTATGCAGTACTTTCAGTTATATTGCTAAGTAAAACTTGAAAAGAAGGTTGCCATTTACTAACCAAAGAAGTCCCAGCTCTCTAGTGAAAAATCTTAGAAACTTAGTTGTCCGCTCCTGAAAGTCTTTGAATCTATTGTCCTTGAGGACAACTCTAATCTCTCTGGCCTGCTGTGTGTTTAATGAAGGATAGAAAAAAATAAGGGAGGTTTTAAGTAAAAAATAATGGTGCTTCCATCCTGCTCTTAGGAAAAATATATTTTACTTTTTATAATGGGTGGGCTTATTTAAGCACCACAGCCATTCACTTTTCTCTAGAAAAATCTTTGAACAGTTTTGTAAGAGCCATTGGACAAACTGGAGAAAAGAATTAGTAATTTCATATGCAAGCGTTTGCCAAGGGAGTGAAATCAGCTCAGAAAGCCCCTATTAATAGATGCATTTACCCTTTGCTGCCTTAATAAACTGGACTGTGTTCTTGGTCCGGAGAATCAGAACTTCATTATTAGAACTGTTGAGGGGAAAAAAACCATTTTGCTCTGTCTGGTAATCTGTATTACATAATCCTATGGCACTTTGCATCATTTTTTTTGCATTACTGTAGCATCTAGAGTCCTCAGGGGAGAGTTTGAAATCCAAGTACACAAGACAAACAATGCATAGGAAGGGCACACAAAAGGGAGTGACTCACACAAGGTCATTCAGTAGAGCAGAGACAGAAATAGAACCAGGTCTCCTGAATCCCATGGTATCAACCTCCCCTCTAGATCATGCTGCTTCTAACAGTCACTAAGGGACAGTTCCAGTAAATGTTTCCACGTCATACACTTACCTTTATGCAGTGCATATGTTACAACTAAGGTAGAGCACATCCATAAGACACTTTTTATATTTAATAACATCTTGACCTACAAATAAAGAAAAAATGAGTAAGTCAAAAGTATTCTAGTGTGTACTTATGAAGTGTTGTAGGTCAATACATCAATACCTGTCCTTAATATTAAAGATGATGATATACTGTAACAAGCTATTTGTTAGGGGGAATGGATTAATATTAAGATTCTTTCACATGTAAATCACTGGCTTGAATCTAATCCAGTACAGTAGTGACAGAAAGTCATTACCATCTGGTGGTTGATCCATGGTCTTGATGAAATGAGAACTAGTCCAAATCCAGTTCGTAGTTGGTGTATACAGCACAAAAAAACACCATCATTCAGAAACTTACAAACTGCCATACGGACCAAGGGTCCATTTCATTTCACAAGTTACCATCACAAATGAGTTCTGAAGGAGACTGAATGACAGCATCACAGTTCTTTCCAACATTTTGCTGAACACAGGTTCTCTTAGGACTTTCTGCTTGCAACATATATCCCTTGGTGAAATGTCATTGTAAGGACAATGTGGCCCCATTATTACAGATGCATGGTGGATTTTAGGATCCGTTTCCAAAGTGTGCCTTTGGTCAATTCAGTGCCCTTCCTCTTTCTAAGCTATGAGCCCCATCAAAAAACTGAAAAGTTCTCTAAAATACACAGTGTTTCCATAACAACACATTGTCATTTCATGCCAGTTCCTAGTTAAATGTGTTGCCTGTATGAACAACATGAAAATCTGTGCTAAGTACACAAGTGATATTAGAATGATTCCCACTAAATGATAGCCACTATCTCTTTATAAATTTCTAGCAATCATGAGAAGTAGCTTTCAGTAACAGTAAAAGGTTGTGCGGCACTGTTGTTGAGAGGCTGTTAGTTTGAGTTCATAGGAGTTTCCTGATTTTCTTCTCAGAATATGCTACTCATGATCTCTAATTAGAGCAGTAGCCAAAACTGAGAACTATTTCTGTCCTGAATAGAATATAATTTAACTTTCTTTAGGGAAGTATGGAGCAGAGATTTATTGGGAGTCAATCTACATTAGAACTATATATGCTTAAGTATTAAAAAGTAATCACTGGAATGAAAACACTGGCCAATGCAACAAAAAGTCCTCACTAGGCAAAGTGGACACTCACACATGATTGCAATAGACATAGTATGACATCCTCTGATAACAGTGGGAGATATGCTCAACGTAAAGAAATTTTGTTACACAACCTACAGGTATGTCCCCAAAACCACATACCTGTATCTGGCCTGGGATACATTCCATAATGGGAGAGTGGTTCAGAAAATAATGCAGAACATCTTAAATCAACCCTTCACAATGTGGGGCTCTTGAATATCTGAACAGGACAATGTTATAATTCCCACTCAAAACAGAATATATTTCAGGAGCTTTACATTCCCAGCAAATGGATGGCTAGTGTTACTCTGTTGCATAGGGAAACACATTGTGCAACATTTTCCTAGAGCGTGTGGAGGAGAAAGCCAACTGCTTTCCCATGTAACAGCCCAAATGCTGCCAAGCACACCCCAATCCTTTTATTACCAACTGCACTGGGCTGGGATTACAATGTGATAATATTTATGTTGCAATGTCAGTGTTCACCCACGCTGAACCTTGTGTGATAGCATTGACATTGCAACAAAAATGCCATCACACAAGGTTCACATATTTTTGTGGTTAAATCCAAAACAAGAATTATGACCTTAATGGGTTCATTCAACCTGATCCATATCTTCAGTCAGAGTTATCTTAGGGGGTCAAATAGCAGTGCTTGATCTAAATCAGTTCACGGGGACATGGCTAGTCCATACGGTTTTAGCTGACGGAGGGGGGAGAAGATAAGATGATTAATTCTAAAAGTCTGGACAGTTATACCATCTCCTAGACCTTCATCTTGAAATGAGTGCATGAGTGAAATGGCTGCATAAAAAAGAGTTGTATATGTCAGAGCTGATCATTTGCCCTTTATTATTCTACAGGGACTAATTTTCAAAGGTGGGCGTCTCCAAAAGTTGTCCATATCCTGCATTTGTATGCACAAATCATTATTTAAAAGAAATGATTCCTCATTATTGTATAGCATCATTGGTAGACTAGGAGGAAGAATGTGTTTGGTGCCTATGGGACTGTGCAATGCAGAGGATGGGTCAAGGAGCCGCTGTATCCAGACAGTTTGGGATCCACCATGCCCAAGGACTGTTCACAGCTGGTGCCCCCTATGGTACAACTTCTTCAAAGAGGGCATGGAAGTGTTAAGACCAACAGGCTATCCAGCCACAGAGGAGAGCACATGCTGTGCCCTCCTAAGGGGTTGTGCAATATGTATTTTTCTCCAGACGCTTTAGGAAACAGTGGGCTTCCCTGCAGCACAATATCTCCTAGAGTGCCCCCTGTTGGGTTGTGGCTGCACCTCCGCCCTTTATAAAGGTTGTGCCCATGGCTAAATGGTCAAATAACTTTAACTGAAGAAAACAAGAACAAAGTCTGTACTGACTTTGCACATTTCACTCCCAGGAGGTAGCCCTGGTCTAAGGGAGCAGGACCAGAGGAGTCAGAAAGGAATTCAAAAAGAGAAAGACCTGGGGAGAGAAATGTGCTGCTTCTCAGCAGTGTTGGTCGTGGATTGCTTCCCACTTCCTACCCCACTATGGTGCACTGAGAGGCTGAGTGAGAGTGAGGGATCCAGCAGAGGGAGCAGTGAGACAGGGAGAGGGAGACATGTTTGCTTAGGGTATATAGCCTCTAAAAGCAAGGAGGAGAAGAGGAAACCTTGCTTAGTGCCTGCAAACTCTGCCTGCAGATGGGTGACACAACATGGTAATTCTGCAGGCCAGGGCTGTGTACACAGATGCTGGCGTGGGGTCCTGCACACTCCTCACACACCGCAGAAAAGTTCTCTACCCTGAAAAGCTCCCTGCAACAGAGCTGTGTCACGGCAGGCCAGAGAAGGGACCATGGGACCCACATTTCTGCAGTTCCAGTGGTCCCACCACTTCATACAAAAGGTGCAGGGAGCCAGTGGCAGCTATTCCATCTGTGGCCCGGCGTTCTGGCTTCCAGGTTGGGGCTGGGATTTCACCTCCCCACCCCACTGCACTTCACCCCGTTACTTGGAATTCATGCCAGGGAATGGCTTTCACTCTAATTGATCAACAGTTACAGAGTCATCTCAAAGAAATCGACTGTCAGATATTATTGCTGGCTAGTGATTGAAGGCTACTGGAAATAGCACCAAAAATAGAAAAGTAAAAGAGAGAGGAAAAAATGGTGAGGAAGGGTAATTGATAAGGGTCCTTGATGGTATCAGCATGCCTTGCAGATGAAGGACAGTACATAGGCATGAATGTTTTGGCATGTTTCATACACAACCTTCTATTTACTACTGCTGAATTTACAGTTGCTACACACGGAGCTTGAATGTTTTTTAAATGTTGCACAGTGGCTTAGCCATGCCCCCACTGACTTTAATATGAAACACCCCCCTAGAACTCCTCACAACTCCAAAAATCTACCTCAAAATACATTAACTTTCAAACATCTTGCCCAAATCTTCTCTAACCTGTAGGACCTACCTAATCAATTTAACAGTGGTTGGTTCTATTTTCTCCAGATTCACATGTGCGACTCCCATTGACATTATCAGGGGACACATATATGTAGTGCGGAAACAATATTCTATACTGTAACTGACCCCAGTACAGGGTGTCCCTGTTGTACTCCAGTCTTTACATGCCTGGTAGTACGCTGGGTGTACCACATGCTAAGGCAAGATCTATAGTTGCTTCAAACTCTCGGCCCTTCAGACCCTAGCCCTCAGTGGGTTCCCTTAAACATTCACAGATTCTAATGAAATAACAAAGGATTCCTTTACTGGGGTGCCAGAAACAGAGGTGCAATTACCTTAGGCACAATGGCTTTAAGACCAAAGATCACAACAATTCCTAACTCAGGCCCTAAGGGCTATTCAGTCCAGGGGTATGAAGTGAGGCTCCTCGGACCTGATACCAGGGATACTCTTTCCAGCAACAATCACTCACTGACCTTCAGATCCCTCAGCCAGTGTCCAGTACTTTTATCCAGCACCTGAAGTCTCATTCAGACCTATCCACCTCACCTTCTGCTTGCAGGCCCCTCCCAAGCATCTGTCATGGCTCCTGCTGGCCCCCCTCACCAGCCCCTCTCCTAGTCCTTTGGTCACACCTCTTAAGCAGACCAGCCTTCCCTCTCAGGTGTAGTTTGACTTCTATTTTTGGGAGGGCAGCTCCAGTCAGGCCAACGGGGCCATGCATGGCGGTGGGGCGGGGGGCAAATTCCACATCCATGAAAGCTTTTGCCCAAATTCCACATCTGCCCAAGGCTTGCCAGCTCCCACAATGCAGCCACCATTCTCTTGTTCCTGTTCTAAATCAATCTCTGGCTCCCTTCTAAGCCAGGCCCCCTCTAACTTGAGTTTGTACATCCCTTCACTATTACAGTTATGGATTCATTCATTATAGGACCATATTTACAGATAGAGGGAGCCTAGACAGACTGTGTAGTAGTTGACCTGTTGAGAAATAATTCTTCCCAACTCAAGACTGCAGGATTTGGGCATATATTTTATTTCTACCCTGTATTGAAAAATGCACGTGTGACACTTTTCAACTTGAAAGAAGCCAAAGCACTTGACAAAACTTAACATCTATAGCAAGTGCTACAGACACTACACACAGCCTGAAACGCTGCCTCCTTGGAGATAAAATAGCAGCAATACTCTAACAGTTCACAGCGATGCTACCCTATGTCTGAATACTGGAAGTGAAAAGTACCTTTTAAGAATACTGCAGGAAGAGTCCAGATGAGCAAATATTACTCAAGTTGGAATTTGGTTAGCACATCATGGGCCCCATTCTAATCTCACACCAGTTTTACACCAGTGTATCTGTTGATTTAAGTGGGATTACTCCTGATTTAAAGTGATGTGAGAACATAATCTCTGCTTCCCTCTAAGATTCCAGATCAAGAAAGAGAGGAA